ATCTATGAATGTTATAAAAGAATCATAACCATCCACACTTTTCACAGGAAATGGACCACAAATATTTGTGTGAATTATTTTCAAAATTCCTGCGCTTCGTTTGGCGTCTTTCTTTATTTTCTTAACGTACTTTCCTTTAATGCAATCGATGCATTGTTCTAAATCTAAAAATTCTAATGGTGGAAGAATTGATCCCTTAACTAATCATTCAATTCTCCCTCTCGAAATATGGCCTAAATGACAGTGCCATAATTTCGAAGATATGTGATCAATTCTCTTCCGCTTATTTCTTACATTCATAGACGAGGATGCATTCTCATTCTCAGTGCTCACATCATTCACATTCTCACAAAGTGATAATAAATAAAGCTCGTCTTGTCGGAAGGCAAGACCAACACACTTGTGATTAAACATAATCTTACATTGGCCATTACCAAAACGGCAATCAAATCCATCATCGTCTAAACGTGAAACACTTATTAAGTTTCTACGCAAAGAGGGTACATAAAGGACATCTGTAAGCTTAAATACAAAGCCATCATTTAATTTTAATGGGAGTTTTCCAATGGCTTCAACTTCAGCTTCGACTCCATTTGCTACCTTAATGTGTCTTTCTCCTCTTTGCAGGGTCCTCCTCGTATGGAATCCCTGTAATGAATTTGCAACATGAATAGTTGCACCTGAATCAATCCACAAGTGAATCTTGCATAACTTAAATACAAGGACTCATCTATAAATATAATAGTGTCCTCACCTTTTCTCATCAGGTGCTTCAGGAACTCTAGACAATCCTTCTGGTAGTGTTTCTTCTTCTTGCTCCATTTGCAGGTGTCCTTGTCTACTTGAACTTTTTGATGGTGATCAGTATGTGGGGCCTTTCCTTGTGACTTAGAAGAGGAGCTACTGTCCCACTGAGGTTTCCCTTATGGTTTTGCATTCTGATTGTTAAAATTCTTCTTCTTATTGTGCTTCACATGGTTGACGATGTCACCTTGTGAGCTCTTAAGCCTCTCCTCTTCTTGCACACACATGGCAATGAGCTTCTCAATGTCCCATTTTATGTCTGTAAGTTGTAATTAACAACAAAAGTTTCATACTCTTTAGGCAAAGAAGCAAAAATCAAGTGAACTAGGAACTCATCCTTAAGCCCCATGTCCATTGGCTTGAGCTTGGATGCCGTGTTGCTCATTCTCAGTATATGCTCTCTTATCCCGCCACCAATGTATTTCTCATTGACTAACCTCTTAATAAGAGTACTTGCATAAGCCTTTGAAGAGCCAATAAACTGACTTTCTACTTTATTGAGATACTCAGTGGCGGTGGTACATTCTGGGATTGCCCCCCTTATGGGATCCTCAATAGAGCTCTTGATCACTATCAAGCATTTGCGGTTTGAACTAACCCACTTCACATGATCAAGGTCATACTTCATTCTTATTGTTGCATCTCACGCTGCCAAGTAGCGAAAAATGCATCAGCCTCATTTTCTTCCCTCATCGGGTCCTCAGGTACAATGGGACAGGGTGAGGTAAGTGCTAGGTCGTTGTCAGATAGCGCAAGTGCCATCTCAAGCTTCTCTTGCCATACGCCATAGTTGCTACTGTTGAGAGGTGAAATAGACGAGATAAACATCATTGGGTTGTAGCCTGAAAACAAAATCAGATAAGGTGAGAAACTTTTAACACAATAATTGTATGCCTTAATTTAACGTTGGTCAAAATTAAAACATACAATGTTCTTCTACATTAATTCTACATCACCGTTGGGCAGAAATAGAATTAATGCATAAAACTCATAAATAAATTATAATATTGCTATTATCAACTTTGGTCAGAAAAACAGCAATATCATAAATACAACATTCTTCTACATTAATTCTATATCACCGTTTGACAGAAATAGAATTAATGCATGGAAAAAACTTATGAATAAAATTATAGTATTGTTATCATCAACGTTGGTCAGAAAATAACAATACGATAATTTGACTTAAACAAATATGACTACTCCTCCAATTAAAATTTTCCCGTTGTTTCCAAATTTAATTAGAGGATCAACATAATCAATTGCAGTGGAAACATAAACATAATTGGTGAATTTTACCCATAGGAAAAAACTCATCAAAACTAATTTTATTTGAGCCAATAATCAATTTCTAGGAAAAAGATAAATTCTCTGGAAAAAGAAAAAAGAAAATGGGCTCAATGTGCACTGTTCTTTGGCTCGAGCGCTTGAATGCGGCCCGGCCCACTTGCGCGCTCGTCGCGCTCCCGCGTCCCGGGCCGCAACCTAGGCCTGGGCCGGGAATCTGACCTCCCGCCTAGGCTGAAAGTTGGTCTGGCTTCTCTGCGCCGTTGATCCAGATCGAACGGCTACGCGTCGATTTCGCCGGATCAAAACCCCGCACCGACGTCGTCTCCCCCGAAACCCTAGCCATTCTTCTTCGTCCCCTTCTTTCTCAGCGAGCCGAGCGGCAACCGCCCATGGTGGCCGGAGGAAGGTGATGGCGCCGCCGTAGGCCCCCTCGCCGGCGCGCGCGTTCGCCTGAGGTTGAGCACGCCGCCGTCGAGCGGCCTTGCGGCGGTGTTGCCTAAGCCTTGTGGCAGCGCAGAACGCCAGCGGCTCCGGGTCCCGCTCGATGGCAGGGACTCCTTCCCGCACAACGGCAGTGGCGACGGCGGCGAGAGTACCTGGGTAGGTGCCCTCCCCTCTCCGTCCTATCTTCTAGGGTTAGGGTTAGGGTTCGGGTCCGATCCGAATTGTCTGCTTCTCTTCGTCTTCCCTGACTAGGGTTAGGGTTCGGATCGAACCCTCTGCTTCTCTTCTTCTTCCCCGACTGGGTTCATCTCCTTCTATTCTTACTGTCCTCGACCAGATCTACACCATAGTACGGCTCTGATACCATTGTTAGGGTCCAAGGATCATCTAGGTGTAGATCTACGGGTGGATTCACTGCTATTTCGGGTTAAAGCAACTAACAGTGGACTTGGGAGAGGGAAACAAAGAGAGAGAGAGAGGTAGATGCCTGACCATCGGGCTTGGAGGAGGAGTTGTCCATGGCGGCAGTGTTCGGGAGGTGGCGTCCTGGCGATGACCAGTGACGGCGACGTGGAGTCGAGGACGGTGGCGGTGGACTTCCCGTCGCCTTCAGCGCTCCCTGGATCGGTTAGGTTGTAGGTGGGTTTTAAGCGGCTCCGATGAACCTCGTACCGAGTGCCCCGGCCCCCACCTCCTTTTTATAGCGCTGTGTGACAGGGGCTCACCAGCCAGGATACGGCTGGGCGCCCCCGATTAGGGCACGGATCAAGGCCCCGACTAGGTCGTTGGACCGAGTCGTGAGGAGATCAACCTTACAATGCCATGGTCCGTGGCGGCAATAAATAAGGAGATACAGCCAGGGGAGATGATGTGTGCTTGGACGGCCCGGCGCTCTCCGTCTGACTCTCTCTGTGGTTCCTTGTGAACTCTGCCACCACATTTGATGTTATTCTAAGCCACTGTGTCTGTGTGCCTTTGCTTTGTCCCCACTGCTGCTTCGACCTGGACTGGTGTTGGGCTGTTGGCCCTAGTTGTTGATGCCTCCTTGTACTTTACATTACATTGCTTCCACCCCCGTCTTATCTGTTTGTGCTAAAGCCAATAGAGGGTCAGAAAAATCTCTGGTTTGGAGCTTTGTGCAGGAACCAATAATCCCCTGTTTTTGGTCCATCCGGTAGAGATAGACATGCCATGCCAGTGTGACAATATTGTACGGACTAGGCAGGATAATATGTGTTGACTGTTCAGGATTGGGCAGATTAGTTTGCTACAAAGGGAGGGACTGTGATAGTACTGTGTATTCATGATTCATGTGAGGTGGTTCGGTAGGAATTGGTTGCAAAAGGAACTAGCATAATTGAGAACGTAGCTGTTCACTTCTCCTGCTACAGGTACTTCCCAACAAAACAAACAATTATTAGCTAGATGGGAATGAAACCATAATCAAGATGTTTAATTTGGGGCTATGCCTTTCACATGTTGCCGACAGTGCAATCAACTTTGATATCATCAGAGAAATCATGTTGAGTTTCCAACTAGCAACAATGACAATTCTAAAAAGTGGAGTATAATTGGGAGGAATTTGCCGGGAACTGGTGAGCTTCAGTTGGAACACATTGATAATTGTAAGCCATGTTGCGTCTTTTACAGCTAATGCCTGTTCCAAAATATTGTGCACGCCAATCTATGCCCACTTTGTTATTTCATTTGTGTGAACCAAGGCAAGCAACATTCACCAGCCTGTTCGCTTAGTCGTATTTGGTTTATCAGCATTTCTCTCATACTAAACCAGCCAACGGTACTTTCAGCCATGGCTTATAAGCCAAACCAGCCCAAACGAACAGGGCGCACATAGAAAGACACAGCTGCATGATCTGTACAGTACTGTAGACTCGTCAGGTCATTATAATGCCAACATGATGGCTTTTATAATACCAACATGATAGCATGGGGGAACAGTCTTCAAGGGGACCATGCACTGGATTCTAGATTGAATATTTATGTATTCACATTTAAGTAGGCGAATGTCCAGCACTTCATAGTTGTGTATGCTCATTACAAAACTGCATAGAGTATTGACTAGCAAGTTGGACTATGATATGCAGGATCCAGAAGAGTGGCCTCTCATTGCCCCTTTGCCATCTTATGGGCGTGGAAGGGAACGGTTAGGACCACGCCATATCAGCCTCATTCATGGAGAGGGCTTAAATGATGTTGTTATTACTGGTATGGCGAATTCTTAGCTATGTCTACTTTCATGATTGATTAATAAATCAAAATTTTCCTCATTAAGTTAATAAATCAAAATTGACTCTTTTTTTTAGTAATGGCATAGGCTTGAACTTAAGTCGTGGGCCATATCTCACCAAGAATTACTATTGATGTATGACTTGAAAATGCCCTTCACAAATATCAGGTAGCAATGGGACCATAGATGGCCAAGGAAATATGTGGTGGGAACTATGGTGGGACCGAACTTTGAATCACACAAGAGGCCATCTCATCGAGCTTGTGAACTCAACCAACATCCTAATATCCAGTATCACACTGCGCAACTCCCTTTCTGGACAGTACACCCGGTCTACTGCAGGTCAGTTTAGTAAGCCGATTCTCGCTGCGTTTCCTAATAGGACCACTTTCATTCTATGTAAATGAAGTACTGGGAAAGTGAATTTTCTCTATTTATTTGTCAGCAACGTGGTGATGAAGGATTTGACCATACTAGCTCCCCTGAATGCTCCAAACACAGATGGCATTGATCCAGGTCTGTGCTGTTATTCTCATTAGCATCCTACTGTCTTTGTCTTTCTAAGAATTAAGTTAACCAAGTCAAATGTTATTTTTATCATCATGGTTTTCTATATATTCAGGATTTTTAACAACTAGATGTTTTTAATTCACCACTAGTGACAGACTTGTTAACATAACTACCAAATCTGTTTTGCAAAGGATGAACTCTTTATTGACAGCTCTCTTGCTGAACAATGGCAGACTCGAGCTCGGAAGTTTGTATTGAAGACTGCTATATCTAAAGCGGAGATGATCTTGTTGCTGTCAAGAGTGGCTGGGATCAGTACGGGATCTCTCTTGGCAAACCGAGTACAAACATCATCATTCAGAGGGTTTCAGGCACAACTCCGACATGCTCAGGTGTAGGTTTTGGTAGTGAGATGTCAGGAGGCATATCTAATGTGCTTGTCCGTGACCTCCACGTATGGAATTCTGCGCAAGCCGTGAGGCTCAAGACTGATGTAGGACGGGGTGGGTACATAACCTACATCACCATAGCCAATGTGACCATGGAGAAGGTCAAGGTACCGATAAGATTCAGTCGACGTGCAGATGACCATTCTGATGACAACTATGACCGAACCGCACTGCCAAGGATCAGCAATGTGCTAATCAGTGACGTTGTCGGTGTAGACCTGCAGCGAGCACCAATGCTGGAGGCAGTGCCTGGTGCAGTTTATGAAGGGATCTGCTTCAGAAACTTTAGCTTAAGAGGCATACGGCGGCAGGACAGGTGGCATTGCAAGTCCGTGTATGGGGAGGCGCATGAAGTTTTCCCTGCACCTTGTGAAGAGTTCAGGAAAAATGGATCTTCGTCATGGTGTGGATTTCTTTGAGCAATTGTGCATATTACAGTAGTCAGAAGTTTTGAGAGTGGATGATACAGCAATACTTGAAATAGAGGGTGTTCATAGGTTTTTGAGATTTTACAGACAAACTCGGGATTTTAACTTTAGTCGTCTGTTTTGGGGGTGGGGTTAGAAACACCATGTAATGTGCACAGCAAAAAATAAGAAAAATCAATTAATACATTAAGGCCCTGTTTGGATCTTTGAAATTAAATTCATTCTAATAATTATAGTTAGCCATACAAGGAAGATACTATTGTTAGCCATAGAAGGGAGATAATTATAGTTGTAGAGTAGAAACATAGCATGGTGATTTATATAATCAATTTCCATCTCCGACCCTATGAATTTGAGATAGGCTTATATGTGAACTTTGGAAAGTAGTGGAATGTCAAATTCTAAGTCAAATAGCCTAAGTTACTATAGTAGATTTTAATTCCTCCAAATAAAATGATCCAAACGGCCCCTAAAGAAATTTCATGTATCCTTTTTCCTACATGTTTTTTCTCGATCACGCAAAATGTCCTTTTTCTTTTTTTTTCTCGAACACGCAGGAGAGCTGCGTATCATTGTATTAATAGAAGAAAAAAGAGAGTCATACATAGACCCGAACCCTGCACACACACCCACCACTACATAGACACTGGATCACCAGTTAAGAAAGACAAAAAGACGACCCTACAACAGTCCATTAGACTAATCCTCCAGCAGAGAGCAAGAAAATTCACTTAGCTCCTGCTAGGCTCCACCAATGAGCCTCTTCCCTAGCCAGAGCCAGAGCCAAGTTAACATTTGGGGTTGCCCCATTAAAAACACAATCATTTCTATGTCGCCAGATGCTCCAGGCTCCCAAAATGACTAGGAAATTCAGACCCAACCTATAATCTCCACTAGCAGCACTATCAACTTTTCTACACCAATTATCAAAGGATTGGTTAGAAGGTTGAGGAGCAAGTGTTGCAAAACCAAAGCGCGATAGGAGGGAGAACCAAAAGTCTCTTGAGAATACACAGCCCACAAGAAGATGTTGAATGTCCTCCTCCTCTTGATCACATAGAAGGCACTGATCTAGATGAGGGAGCCCCCTCTTTGCCAATCTGTCCGCTGTCCAACATCTATTATGAGTGACAAGCCACATGAAAAATTTGTATTTGGGGGGCCCAGGATTTCCAGATTCTCTCATAAGGTTCAAAGAAGATTGCACCTTGAAAAAGCGTATCATAGGCGCTCTTTGCTGTATATTTTCCTGAAGTAGATAGCTTCTAGATGTGCTTATCAGGAATTTCCTCATTTAGCTCCACACCATTCAAGATATCCTAAAGTTCAAGATACTGAATCAAGGCAGTTGAACCGATCTCACCTTGTATGTCCTCTATCCATTTTTCCCCAGTTAGTGCTTCCAACACAGTATGTCTACTTGACCTTTTAGGAACCGGTGCATATACCAGAGGTGCGATGTCCTGGATTCTTTTGCCATCTAACCATTTGTCCTCCCAAAAGAGTGTATTGGATCCATTTCCAACTTCAGTTATTATAGCCACAGAGATGAGGCCAGCTACCTCTCTACTGACTTGGATAGGTAGATTTGCCCATGGTTTGCTGGGCTCACTCCGTTTGAGCCACGGCCATCGTGCTTTTAAGGCGATACTCAAACCCTTCAGATCAGCAATCCTAAGACCACCTAATTTTCGGAAGCGGCACACTTTAGGCCAGGCAATGAGACAGTGACTGCCCTTTACCTCTTTTCGGCCTCTCCACAGGAAGGCCCTTCTGATCTTGTCAATAGCTTTGAAAGCCCAAGGTGGGAGATATGTTGCCATGGCCACATAAATCAGGATTCATGTGAGAACATACTGCACTTGAATAACTCTACCAGCTCAGGTCATCAAATCAGCCTTCCACCTAGGAAGTTGATTTGCAATTCTATCAATGATGGGTTGGACCTGCTCCTTAGTCAGCTTCTTGATGGTCAGGGGGGAGACCCAAATATTTGCAAGGGAAATCCAGCATCTTATAGGGCAATAGATTCTGAATGAGGGCCAGATTTTCCTCAGCACAATGGATTGGTAGCACATTACTTTTTTGAACATTGGTCCTAAGGCCAGATGCTTCACCAAATAAATCCAGTAGCTGTAAAGACAAATTGATATCTGCTGCATTAGGCTGAAGGAAAATGGCTACATCGTCAGCATATAAGGAGATTTTGTGCTGGATAGGCCTAATGGATAAAGGTTGTAGCAGCCCAACTTCAGAAGCCCTTGTGAACATCTGATTTAACGCATCCATGACAAGAATAAAGAGCATAGGAGATAGCGAATCTCCCTGTCTAATCCCCTTATGTGCAAAATACCTTCTCCTGGGATGCCATTCAAGAGAACTTGGGTGGATGAAGATGATAAGAGGGCACAAATCATGTCACACCAGCGAGAACCGAAACCCAATTTTCTAAGCACCTCCAAAAGGAAGGCCCAAGACGCTGAGTCAAAAGCTTTGGTAATGTCAAGCTTCAGGAGAATTCTGGGCTGCTTTTGAGAGTGTAGGAATTTAACTGTCTGCTGGACCATCATGAAATTATCTTGAATGAACCTTTTTTGATGAAAGCGCTTTGATTGGAGGACACCATCTCATCCAGCCGACCTACAAGCCTATTAGCTAGGATTTTGGTCACAAGTTTGGTGAAGCTGTGAACTAAGCTAATTGGCCTATAATCCTTGACTTGAACAGCATTAGTCTTTTTTGGAATCAAAGTAATGTATGCAGAATTCAGTTTCTGGAGGCTTCTAAAATTTTCAGTCCAAAGAAAATGAACTGCTGCCATCACATCATTCTTGATAATTGTCCAGCCACTTTTATAAAATCTGCCAGTGAACCCATCCGGTCTAGGAGCCTTATCAGGTGGCATCTCCTTTATGGTGTTTCACACTTCTTCTAAAAAAGGCAAATCCAAAGCTTCAAGATCAAAGCCGGGGCTACCAAGGGTGTCCAGATTGATAGTTCTCCCTCTAGCGCACTCAGTCCCAATGAGACTGTCATAAAAATCTAGAACAACAGCTGCCTTATCCTCATGCTTTGTGATAACCTGATCTCCAACATGCAATTTGGGGATGAAATTCTTCTTTTTCTATATCTTGCATGTTGATGAAAAAGCCTTGTGTTGGCATCCCCATCCTTTAGCCAATTTATCCTAGACCTGAGTCTTGATATTGTTCTCAGCAGGGAAGATAGCGCCAGTGAATGCTTCTTGAGATTATTACGTAGCCATAATTCATTAGGTTGAAGAGGCCTGCTTTCTTGAGCAATATCAAGTTGGTGGACGATTTCTTTTGCCAGGAGCAATTGGGACTTGAAATGACCAAATTTCTTCTGACTCCAGCTCTGTAACCCTCTGACAGTTGCCTTGAGGTTCTAGGCTGTACAGTGTCCAAAGCATGCTTCACTACTTCTAGAAAACCATCCAGAGAGGGCCAGAAAGCTTCGAAATGAAATCTTTTCTTGCAGCCAATGATATCCTGCATCCCAAGGATCAGGGGGTAGTGGTCAGAGTCATTAGAAGCAGCACACTGCAGGAGACAACCTAGAAACTGATCTTCCCAATCAAGTGTATAGAACAATCTGTCCAACCGAACAAGAGTAGGGGAAGCATTAGTGAAGGAGCTGGTCCATGTATATTTATGTCCATGAAAAGGAATTTCAAAGATCCCCAAATCATTTATCCATCTTCTGAACCTTCCCATCATTGCTCTATTAAGATTGGAATTGTTTTTGTCCTCCTCCTTATAAATGAGATTGAAGTCCCCGACTACCAACCATGGCCCAGAGCACTGGACTCTGAAATCCCTCAGCTCTTGAAGAAATTGGATCTTGTCTTGATCTTGTTGGGGGCCATATACACAGGTCAACCACCACGCACTACCATTAGACGAGCAGAATTGAACCGAGAGACTGTGAGCATCCACCCTGGTAGCTCCAACAATGCCCAGTTGAATCCGCCAAGCCACCAAAATTCCACCACTGGCTCCACCAGAAGGAAGATAAATGAAATTATTATCAAATTCACTTCCTAACATGGACAGGACTAGACGCCTAGAAACCATACTCATTTTAGTTTCTTGTAGGCAAACAACATCAATCTTGGAGGCATCCACCATGACTCTAACAGCATCCTGTCTCGCTGCTGAGTTTAAACCTCGTACATTCCAATTTAGGATGTGTGCCGGATCCATAATGATACTGAGGAACAAAAGCGACATGGAGGAGCAATCAGACAATACACTCTACCAAGTCAGCAGCAGAAACTGCCTCAGGGAGTGCCCATCCGAAAAGAGCAGCTAGGGCCTTAGTGTGAGAGTTGGCATAGGCTGCTTAAAGCGTTGCACATAATCATCCAGGGCTTGCTGGCTAATGCGTTCCCTTTCTTCATCGACATTCATATCTAGTGCACGCATGACTTGTTTAGGCTAAGTTCGGTTAGCCAGGAATAGGCCTAGGAACTATTCCGGCTTTGATAAACTTAGGCCACGTTCGGTTCCTATGGAATCAACCCTGGGAACCAATCCTACCAGGAATGCTTCACTAAATTATATAGCTAACTCTCACTGAGATTAATTCCTGTCAGGATTGGCCTCAAACGAACGAGCCCTCAGTGAACCATTGCCGCTGGGAATTGTTCCCAGGGAACCGAAGGAGGCCTTTAAATATTAGAATTTACATGTTTGACTTCAACAACCTAGCGGGGATAGCTCAGTTGGGAGAGCGTCAGACTGAAGATCTGAAGGTCGCGTGTTCGATCCACGCTCACCGCAATTTTGTTTTTCTGATTTTCACTTTTTTTCATTTTTTTCCTGATTTTCATTTTTTTTTGTTTCTGGGAATTTTAAAAAAAAAAGATTCTAGGAGTTGGTTCCTGCTGATTTGTTCTCCAGCTTTTGCTTACTAAGCTGATCATTTTTTTTTTCAAACATTTACTCCTATGCGGAATTGCCCACTAC